GTCAGTGTGAGCAGTCAGTGTGAGCAGTCAGTGTGAGCAGTCAGTGTAAGTGGTCAGTGTGCATGGCCAGTGTGTGCGGTCAGTGTGTGCGGTCAGTGTGAGCAGTCAGTGTGAGCAGTCAGTGTGAGCAGTCAGTGTGAGCGGTCAGTGTGAGCAGTCAGTGTAAGCGGTCAGTATGCATGGCCAGTGTGTGTGGTCAGTGAGAGCGGTCAGTGTGAGCAGTAAGTGTGAGCAGTCAGTGTGAGCGGTCAGTGTGAGCGGTCAGTGTGAGCGGTCAGTGTGAGCGGTCAGTGTGAGCGGTCAGTGTGAGCAGTCAGTGTGAGTAGTCAGTGTGAGCAGTCAGTGTGAGCAACCAGTGTAAGTGGTCAGTGTGAGCAACCAGTTTGAGTGGTCAGTGTGAGCAGTCAGTACAGACAGTCAACATGACTGGAGAATAAAAAATTTGATGAGTAAAAACCCCAATCAGGCAGAACATTGTCCAATGACCTTCTGTTATTTTAACCCCTGCACTTCCTGTCATAATGGTTGTAGTGTTTAGACATTTCGTTACTGTTATATAGAGTTATCTGTGCGCTAAGAATCATGGTACTGTAACATGGCGTGCTCGCTGGTGTCGATTAAAGAAACCGTTGAGTTTATCTGCGCTTATCTGAGTATTAACAGGCCATCATTACAATGGTACTTTCAATTGGAAATTTTTCTATAACAAAAAGAGCTTCAATCTTGAGTCTGTGATGATTTAATATTTTATTCTCTTGACCTTAATGGTAAAATAATCAGGGGAAATACTGTTGACAGCTATCTAGATGCTTAAATGCAACTCTCTTTGGAGGTTAAAAGGTTAATAGAGAATAATACATAGGCATGCATCGATACAGAACTTCTCTTCAAGTGTTCAACTTGACATCTCATATTAAGTAACCAAAGCAAACAAGTAGGATATTGAATTGAACATGGTGATGGAAATCCAATATCTCCATTGTACAAGCAACCATGTAATATTTTACTTAATATTTAAATACAATGGGCCTTTACCACAACCATTGGCAAATATTCCAGTTGCTGATTCTCTTTCTCAGCCACAAGGAATGCCATCACCAAAGCCTTTGCTTCTCGCAAATTTTTTATGTCACTATTTGTGAGTGATACAAATCTTTCAGTGTTGTCAGTAGCCAATTACATCCAAGAAAATTCCCTCAAAGGACCTTGGATTGAGATTGATGAATGGCTTGCCATGGATTCATCAACCTAAGATTAGTGCAAAAGGCCGCCTCTGATTTATCAGCAGGTGATTGGTGATTGTAAACACACATAAAAAATTATGATTCATAGTACATGCAAGTTTTACACCTGTGCAGTTACAGCTTTTCTCAGGGCTGGAAAGCCTTTTAAAAATACCACAGATTATACAATAGAGGAATTATGCTTAAATTGAGATTAATTAAATGATGGTATAAGAGTCTTGAAAATTCCTTACCTCTCATTCCACATAAAAATAAAAACTCAGCTCTTGAACATGACTCAGAAAGAATGAAAGTACAGTTGTAATCGAGACTTATGTGTACCACTTACTGAGGGGCTGATTTCCTCCAATAACGCTCTACTCCATTTTTCATCAATACCATTGCCATCCACCGTATGTTTACATCAAGTGTCTTATTTCTGAAAATTATCTTTAAAAGAAAGAAGAATATGCAAATTTCACATTAAGTAGGTCTGTTAATCATACAGTTTTGACTACTGAAAATGAACTGAAAAGGAGACATAACTCGTCAGTAGAGGGGAAAAAAAACATATGTACATATATATATTAGTTGAAGAATCAAAGAGGATGCATCGATTCTCTGTTACTCTGAGTTTCGCGCCAAAATGCTCATCAGACAGAATTTGTCTGATGAGCAGTTTGAGCAATTTGATTCTTCAACTAATGTATACCCAGCTCTGCTAACACAGCATTGAGCACTTTATGCCAATACCCTCGCATTCATATCTATATAAATATACATACACGTGTACACATAATAATATAAGCAAAATTTAGATTAATGCAGAATATACCATATCTTGCTTGCTCAAATTGATACACAACTCAGATGGTTTTACAATAAGCTACTGCACAAGAGTTAGTCCAACTAGTAACTAATCCACAAATTAAAAGAATTCATACTTGAGCTTTTCAGTGAGATTGGGCCAAGGGGTTAGGAACAAACAGACAAATGTTAAGGGATTTGAGAGGTGGTAAAGGATTTATCAGATGAGAGATTTGGGACAAAGCCCCATAAGTTACAGGATTACATCTTCGAAGAAATGAGCACTGCTGAGAAAGAAAATGTAAATTGCTCTGGCTAAAAAAGCCTTGAAGTCTACCTGGTGGATGAAGTGTCGCCCCTTAATCAACAGACCAGGATTTATCTTTTGGATAAAAGGGATCCTCACTTTTCCTTGGAAAACAATTAGAATTTGCTTGGTAAAATTTTTATCAATCTCATCAATTTAAGCTCCACCTGAAAGAAAAACTTACCACCAAATCGAATGCAATGACATAATCTTTGCTGTGGTATTCGACAATTTAAGCAATTGCAAAAAGAGACCTGATAAAACTCACACCTACAACAATAACCTTTGACCCCACAATTCATGGGCAGTACCCTAATGAAATAATCCTCGGGTGGAATGGGCCCAAGATGTTCATGTCAGTCATTACAAGCCATATTGGTCTTTAAGTTGATAGCAAAATCTGTGCTGTTTGCAACACCATCAAGCCCAGACTTCATTTTACATTAGGCACCAATAACAGAAACACAATGACTTCCAAGATTGACTGCTAACTATTCAAAAAGCAAACCTCTTTATTTCACCTGGGCAAACATGTTACAATTAATGCACACACATACATTACTTCATCAATTCAGAAGCTCTTTGAGTAGAACTTATGGAAAGATTTCCATATAACCCCACACATTAATTATACATTCCATTTTGTAAAGACTAAATATAAAGGTTTCTTTGCAATACTCTGTGCATAATTAATGTATGGGGTTATATTATATGGAAATCTTGCCTGTTCTCATTCCAGTGGTCAAAAAGATGTCAAACCGTTAGAAGTAAGAAAGCTTTCTGTTCTCAACACAATTTGACGTCATCTGTGATCAATTACAAAACAGATAGACGGCAACATGGACTGAGGGCATCTTCCATCGTATAGTTCATCATAAGGAAACCCAGACGAACGTATGCATTACATGTCAAAAAGGTAAAGTAATAGCTCACGTTGTAGTCCGTTCAGAATCTTTATACAATATGCACAATTCAAGTTAAAGTTATAATAAATTAAAATACTAAAAGGTACTAAGAACACTATCACAACTTGCTATTCAAAAAGTCAGTAATCAATTTGTTTTTCAGATAAAATTTAAGGGTAGAACTCAATTCTGAAGTTTTAAGAGCACTGTCAAGATTGTTTCAGATATGCACCATGCGGTAGTAAAAATTAATGTTCTCTGTCCGGTACTCGACCTTTAATACAAGGGTATGTTTAATAGTTGGCAACTTCGTAAATTGGTCGCAGAGGTAATGTGGAGCTTGACTATTCCTGCATTTAAATGCCATGACAGCGTCGCGCAAGAACAGCTGTTGTTTAATTGGAAGCCAGCGAAGATCTTTTAGTGCGGGGGTTATGTGCTCGAATTTCTAGATCTTGGTTCCTGTAATAATGCGCGCGGCAAAGTTCTGCACAGACTGTACTCTACAAATATTTTTGTTTGAGGTGTTCGACCACAGTGTGTTTTGATCAAAAATATACTCAATTCTAGGGTTAGTTATTTATCTAAATCTAAATGTCTTATCTGCAAAGGGCAACAGCACTCTTACCATCAGCAAACTATAGTACCCTGGTTCTCTTTCCCATGATTTGAGCTTATCCTCTGCGTCCTTTGTAAGTGCGGGATTCTGGCTACATGCATGGTTTAATGCAAGCAACAATGCGTCTCTCCAAGCTTCATTTATTCTTTTTTCATCCATGGAGGATGCTATTAAAGAAAATTTCGAACGCTTTGGATGTAATATGTTGCAGCTTTGAAGGTTGAGTACATTTGCCCTCACCTTACATAAAGTAGTTACCACTTATCATACCTGAAATAAAATGGCGGTAAATTCGAGCGGAACCTCAAAGAGGAGTGAATTTCCTGGACCTAAATTTGAAGAAAGTTTACCAGTTGTGTTCCAGTGTAACAACTGTAATAATATACTTGGCGATTCTTATGCATGGATTTCATCAAACCGAGATCTCGAAGTGATTTGCCTAAGCAGTAAGTGGCTCAACTAAGCATTGTAATAATTATTGTTTTCATTATAATATTAATATAATCGTCTTGTAGAGCTCTTTTCGGAAAAAAACCCTATGATTTCCAAAAGTTTAGTAAACTAGGAAAAATTTTGGCAGGAGTTCCATACAACCCCAGACATTAATTATGCATAGAGTGTTGCAAAGAAACCTTTATATTTAGTCTTTATAAAGCGAGTGCATAATTAATGTATGGGGTTATATGGAACTCTTTCCAAAATTTTTGCTTAGAATGATGCTTCTTTTGTGTCGAAAAACAAGATGTTAACTTTATTATTTGCGGCAAGACTCAGGGACTTATTAGGGAATATAAAACGCACTTTCTATCGGTTAGTGTCGTGATTGGTCAAAACCTATCTTTTGTTGGACTGAGAAATCCATAGAAAATTGAGGTTTATTTTATAGAACAATATACCGCAACTTCTATCGGTTTATCGGCGTTATGACCCACCTGAGAGACCTTTCTCCAAGCGTCGGTATCCTAAATAAAGATCACTACTAAAAGTCACCAGTTTGACCCTTGAAACGAAGCTTAGGCCTTAGGAGTAAAACTGGGTATTCCAATGTAAACATACTAAAAGCCCATTTAACAGTCAACTATCAAAAAAGATAAATTTTAATGTTCAGAATAACCATTGAAAAAGCAGCTCAAGAATTTAACAATTGAAGGGTTTCAAGGTCTTTAGGATCTCATTTAACAAGCAGGTAGACAGAATTTCAAAGAATCTGATATGGAGAGTGGTAAACTGGAGTCCATGCCTACACTGATCAACTATATAGTCATTTCCACTAATTTTCACCCAGACTGACCATTTGAAAATATAAAGAAGCTCATTTTATTGGATAACTTGATTCTGACATATCATAACAAATCACAATACCATAATTATATCACCAAAGCATACACTACTGAGTTATGGATGCATGCAGAGGTTGCTAAGCACGAAAGAAACATAAGAGTCATGGGAAGCGATAGCTGAGAGCATTCTCTAGCTTCTTGATTGCCTAGCAAACCTCCAAGTGCATCCACAACTCAATATTGTACAATGTCGTGTTTACCATTTGTTTTATAACACATTGATACATTACAGCAAAAGAGTTCCCTTTATTTAACAAATCTTATGTGACCAGAAGAAACAAGCGTGCACTTGCATTCTTTGCATTTGCCTACATCAGCAGTGTACACCCATGGGCAAATGGTGGACTCTGAATTGACCAATCAGAGTGCATGCTTTACTTTGGTTGCATGGTGCTTAGAGCTGAGCAGCCTTGTATTATTTTACCCAAGGTCTTGGGATGTGGGCAAAACACATGCAAAGTGCTCAAATTCCTTTTGAATTCACTAAGTTAATAGGAAATTCATTTTTTCCACAGTATGGCTGACTGCTGTAAGGAAGAGCAGTTTTGGTCTTACAGCTGTACATGCCTGTAGAATGAACTTTATGAAATTTTTCTAAATCTGATAGATGTGCATTGCAAATGTGCAAGCATGTATTGTAATGTAACTTTTTTTTTCTTTCATCTAGAAGTAACACCATTTATACGTTCAGGTGAATGTTTAGAGACTTCAACCACGGAAAGTGACATAGGCAGGTACATTAGGTGGTTAATAATAATAATGATAGTTTTGCAAACATGCAAGAAGATCATGAATCACCAATCAGATTCTGAGCACGCAAAAAGAAACATGTGAGGTGACTTTACTTAAAAAGTATGTAACTCAACTTATTGCCTGAGCCAGTAAAGGTCTCATTTATATCATTCCATGAGAACTTCAAAATTAAAGCTGGCAATGGATTGTAGGGAATCTTTAGTAATGAAGTGTTACCTTTTGTCTCACAAATGATTCACTTAGTTATGTGGATCACTTTGTTTCAACAGCAGTTACTGCTAGTCTTCATTAAGACGTGAAGTTGACTGGATATGAGTCACCTTATGATTGTGGTTAGTTGGTCCTGTAAAATATGCTGTCTTGTTTAGCCAGATCTACAGTTTCTTCCAGCCGTGCTAATGATTGCAGCTAGTCTTCAACTTGAAAACAACACCTATGGTTGTTGTTGAGCAGTGTTGGACAGACTGTTGACTTGGGGTAAAACTTCATTGGTCAGTTTTCTAATCAAAAAGAGAAGGATAATGAATGGAGGGTTCTGCCTCATCTACTTGTCATTATCTTCTCAGAAGATCAAATGGGAATCTAACTGAATATGCCCTAAGTTGAACTTACCAATTGGTCATAAGATGAAAGAAAAGTGGTCTGCTCATGAATACAGAGTGCTATTTGGCTTTGCCATTAATACCCTTGAAGGGGACGTTATTGAGATTTACATGGCTATAGGCGATATCGATCATCGACGGTGCACCAGGACTCTTTTTTTCACTCCCTTTTCATTACCTAAGTTTTGGGAAGGGTTTCTTTAAGCTGTGCCCCTACCTGCCTCCAGATTTTGGGACCATTACAGTGCTCCTTTAGAACAAGGCTGCATCATTTTATAGATGCTAGATATGATTCTTACCAGTTCTGCATTTGATTATTTGTAAATTACTTCATCTGCCTGCACAATTTTGTAGGACTCTTTTCACTCCCTGGGGAGCAGGGTTGGCGTAGTGGTGAGAGCACTCGCCTTCCACCAATGTGTCCTGGGTTCGATTCCCGGACCCAGTGTCATAAGTGGATTGAGTTCGTTGGTTCTCTACTCTGCTGCGAGAGGTTTTTCTCCGGGTACTCCGGTTTTCCCCTCCTCAAAAACCATCATCATTTGAATTTATTTAATTTAGTGCTTATTTGCATTTACACACGACCCCACAAGCTGTTCAGCTTTAAACATTATCATGTCTAAATAAAGGTGTTCTTATTATAATTGTTATTATTATTGCTACTCCTCCATTTGTTATACTTTTGAAGAAATGTTGTAAATGATCATAGATTGTGTTTGATACCAACCTCATCCAGCGATGTTTGGCATATTCAGGCACTGAATGACGAGAATTGTTAAATGTTAATGGTTACTAATAAATATAATGAATTACACCCAGTTAGAGAGCACATGCCTGTCGCCCCCCCCCACCTTGTTGACAACCATATCCTTAACCTCTGTGCATGATGGAAATGATTACATCTACAGACAGATTAATTTCCAGCAGTACAACAGGGGTTTCCATAATTTTTTCATAAGTAGCTACTGATGGTATATTAGGGGCTTGTGCCATAAGGCAAAACACCAAACACAAGGACCTGCTCAAAGCCTCAACAGATGGATGTGAGAGGTCTTACTGGTGGCAGTACGCCACTGGGCACTGGCTTTTTTTGAAACCCCTGGTTCAATGAGTACACCCTATGTTACATATTACCTAGACTAACAAAACCAATTGTCGCAACATTTTCCTAACTTTCTTCTTAAAGGAGAAAAGTTTAATCCAAAACATAATCAAATTGTTACTCAATTACTCATGAAATGTAACCCTTGCTGATGGAAAGAAATTCTAGAATTACTACTCTGAATATAATTATTTTCAGCCTCCAAGGACCTTCCTGAACTGATAATAAACAATTTGCCTCCAAAATTTCCTTTTGCCAAAAAATTTTAAAATTAATTTTACACACTTTGATTTCCTTATTTATGTCTCATAAACTTTCATAACTACTGGCTTATCACACCATCTAGTTGTAGCATCAGTAATTATACTCTTTTCCTGTGCTTATTGTGGTTCCTTTAGGTTCCAGGCTTTAGGAATTGCATAATTTCATTTTTTCCCCAACAATTATGCTTTACACCCTAACATGTATGCTTTACAACCTAACAGTATCCTTATTCTCCATACCCTACTCTGTACCTTTCCTAAACTGCTGACAAGGAGAATTTGTTAAAGAATCAAGAGCTTCATTAGTTCAGTGGTGATCATTTGATCTATTCTTTTGACCTTTTGGGTACTGTAATACTGCAAAGGAGAAATTACATGCTAGTTACTCCCAGGTGTCAGGGGGTTACCAGGCAATTAATTTTGCTAATGATTAGTGTACTTCGATGTTCTAGCACATTCATCCCTATACACTGTAAATCCTGCAGTTCTCCTATTGGTCGCATCTACCAGACTACTCCAAAGGACCTGGATCATTTACGGTATGACTCTACTTTAGATTGATGAGTTAGATTTTTGGGAATGATGAGGTACAGTTTACAATGTTTAATATTTCTTGAATTAGGAAAAAACCTTATCTCAAAATAAAAATGAAGGGCTGGCCATTTTGCCCTTTTTTTGCTTAATTTTTAATAAGTTTGTATCAGGTTTAAGGCTACAATTTAGACATCGGCAGATGTTGCTGGACAGTTTTGATCAGTAGATACCACACAGTTGAATGGTGCTTTTCACATACACTGATTGGCTGGTTCAGAATAGATTAGCAAGTACTATACACCTCCAAGCACCCAAAGAGACAAAGTACCGGTAGTGTGTTAACATTATAATTTCCGACCACTTTTTGGTATATTGACTAAAAATAAACTTTTTTTTTTCGGTTTCTGTGTGGTATAGACTAAAACAATGATTCACCTCAGTGTTGGTGAAAGTGATGGATATTTACCTCATCACTTTACAGCACAGTAAATTCCCTGCAATTTTCACCTCCACTTCAAGGAATGATTACAATTGTTAATATTATTCCTCATTAAGTTATCTTTGTGCATGAAGCAGCCTAACCAAAGAATGCCATCAGACTCTGTTTCCTTAAATTATTTTGAAGTATTTTCATTGAGATTTTTGGATGAGAGACTTCAGAACTTAAGGTGGCTTACTGTAGTTTAGAGAATTCAAAATTTAAAATTCCTGTAAGATTGATAAACATCATTTATCATAACTGTCATGATTTAGCTTGCAATTGTACAGTGTTTGAATCAAGGTAGAGGTTTTATGCACAGGTTGGAGAAGAAAGTGCACCGAAAGGCCTTTCTTTCAGTAAAGGCTGATAGTAAAAGAAACTGTTTGGGGCTGCATCGGTGGGGGTAACAAAATAATTTGGATAATTATATCAACAAAGTTGAAATGGTAAATTGGCCACCTTAACGATTACAAAAGCTGACGTTTCAAATGTTAGCCCTTCGTCGCCCTTCTGTGGTCTTTCCGTACACTTAGGTAGCACAGAAAGACAGAAACCCTCGAACAAAAGCTCATCTTTCAAACCGGCAGTCTAAAACCCACAGGGATCAACAAGCACTTTTCATTCCACTAATTTATACGTGTTTTTCTCGTTGCCATGTTCCCACCAATAACGTAGCTCCATTTTCTGCCTTTAAAAGCACACACAACCCACAATTCCTCTATTCGCTACGACGAAGGGCTAACGCTCGAAACGTCAGCTTTTGTAATCATTACGGTGGCCAATTTACCATTTCAACTTTGTTGATATATCCAAATTATTTCGTTACTCCCACCGACACAGCCCCAAACAGTTTCTTTTGAAACTATCAGCCTTTATTCATATATATGTCCTTGACCATTACTGGTTAACACTAATCTAAAAGTGAACTTAAGCTGCCGCTTCCAATACTAAGCTGAAAGAACATGTGTGGATGTCAGATTCTCAATTCAAAACACAGTCATGATCATGCGTGGCTCTGAATAAGCTCCATGGAGTTTTTTTCTTCAGATATCTAAGGCAATACCCGTCAAGGATTACATGTTATGTGATTCTTGACAGGTATTGCCTGAATTACACAATATTACATAAATATATCTTATTAACCAAGCGCAAGGGCCGTACTGGGAGAATATCGGCCTGAGGTCTTGACAGTACGGACTGAGCACAGTGAGGTCCATACAAAAAAGACCGAGGGCTGATATTCTTCCAGTACGGTCCCGAGCAAGCTTGGTTAATAAGAGATTTATTATACAACTGAAGTTGAAAGGGACACAAGTGCGGTATCATTCAGGACAGTGCCCAGTCCAATACAGAGAGAATATTGACCGGCAATAGAGCATTTTGATTGGTTGATTTTAGTTATTGGCCCTCCGACTGCTCGAGTCGTGTAATAATATGTAATATGTAATCCTTGACAGGTATTGCCTTTCACATTGTGAACTATTCTTCTCTTTTTCTGATGAGCCAATCTTTTCCTTTTTGAGCTTTTTAACAATTGGTCCAATTGCATGTTGAAACAAATACTTTTTTGCTCATTTGTATATTCCTTGTCTTATTTCATACTTCAAGTGTGAATGAGAGTTTTTCGTGTATTTGAGTGAATGCTGCATTATACCTACATGCAATTAGATCACTTTAATAAGGGTGAAAGGAGGACACTGAGAAATAAGTACAGTACAGCTCCCATGAGAATTCCCACAGCTCTCGTTTCAAGTTTACCATACAGACATAGAAAATTATCATCACATTTAGGCTGAAATATCAACAGAAATCTTGTTCTTTCATTTTGACTTTGTCTCTTAACCGGCTGAAAAAGGTTGGATAACACAATTTGTGATTTTGGAGGCTGAGTCTATGATAAACAATGCAGGAATTTCTCAGAGATACATAAAGCTCTCCTAAAATGCATGTTGCAGGCACTGACAACCGATAAGAAAAAGGAAGGGGAGAGATTTTGCATAAAGGTCCCTATTTATTTATTTATTTATATGCACCCAAATGACTTCCCTGTTGTTGCTTCATGTACCTGTACCAACCAACAACCATCTTCACCACCTTTACAGTACTTAGTGGACATTAACTTCTAATTGCAGTAACATTGTCATTGAAAAATGTAAATGTAAGAAAACCAGAAAAAGCCCTACAAATAAGCATATAGCATAAGCATGTGGTGTTAGCAAGGAGATTATCTTTTTATTTTTATTGGAATGTCTGGGAATCTCTTAAAAACATCTGATACTCTTGAGAGGATTGAAATAATTTTTCAGTGGAAATTCTGCAGCTGAGGATTTAGTTAGGGGGTACTTTAATTTATTATTATGTAATTTAAGAATTTTTATTTGGCTTTTTCCTTTGTTTTTTGTTTTTATGAAAACATTATTCCAATTACTGGTAGCTGGACATATAAATTGTCTATTTTAATTCATCCTTCAGGAATCAATATTGTTTGGATATGGAGCATATAAGAAGGTAATTAATAGCTCTTGAAAAATAAAAGTGGGTGAGGGGACTATACTGTTAACCAAACAAACAAACAAACAAACTTAAACAGTAACAGTCATTTAAGGGCTGTGGATACCACTGGCAATGATGTCGAATTTCTTAAATCCATGAACACAGATGTAGTTCTGGTCTTGAGAAAAATTTTCTTGAAATTATAGAAAATAATATCATCGAGCCTCACCAAGAATGGAAAATTATAACATATTTTGTTAGGAATTTCCCTTTATGATTTCTCACAGTTCAACCTTTTTCTTAATAATTTAGCTTGTAAAATGTAGTTTGCATTTTGCTGTATTCCTCATTTCCTTTTCCCTAAGCGGAGATTGGAGACCTCGCGGATGCGTAAGTTATCTCATTTACCCAAGGTTTTCTCCCAATAATATCATTGTATTTTATGGTCGTTAGCATCAAAAATTGAAAAAAAATCAATGATTTGAACGTAAATTAAGTAATTCAGACTGTCTTGATAACATTTCCCAAATAGAAAGAGTATTAATCCACTACTAAGCAACTAGCCGGTGGTTGTAAAAGTTAGTGCATCAGTGCTCTGCTATCTTCAAGTGTGGGATCAAGGGGTGTCCGGTCTTTTCGTCCAAGAGTCTTTTCGTCCAAGTCTTTTCGTCCGAAAGTCTTTCGTCTAAAAGTATTTTCACCTAAGTCTGTTCGTTTACTTGTTAAGTCTTTTCTCGAAGCAAATAAATAACTATTATATTTTTATTATATTATATCATAGATAAGGCTATACAAAGAACTTATCAGTGCGAGCCGTAGCCCTTTTTGGTTCACCAATCTTCGTTTTACGAATTCAGTGTCATGAATTTCATTCACAGAATGAATGAAGTTGTAACGCAATATATTTTATTAAATAGTAGCAAAAATAAAGACTTGCTTGCCGTTTAATTATTTCACGCGAAAGAAATGGGAATATTAGGCTTGTTGTTAAGCGTCTTTTGAGCGTAAAAGGCAACGAAGCGTAACATCACTACGTGTCCGACATACCCAAATGGCGGCGGCTCACAACAAGTTCTTTATATAGCCTTATCTAGCCTTCTTGCTTGAGAACAGACTTAACAAGTAAACGAACAGACTCAGGTGAAAATACTTTTGGACGAAAAGACCGTAATTCGATCAAGGTGAGAAAGAATTTAAGCGCCTTAAGTGAGTCTCTAATTTGGTGACCTGCTCGTGGCAGTCTTGTAGTCAGAAGTAACGTTCAAAAAAAGAAGTAATGGATCAAAAATAAAGCGAGATTAGAAATTTACATAAAATAGCCACTGGACAATTTCCCTTCTCCATTTTCTTGTTGCAACTAAAATGTTGTGAAAGTGTAGTACGGTGATCGTCCGGGTGAGTGTAGTCCTGAGAAGGACTGTTGTCGGTGGTAGTGACTGACGTTTCGACAACCTGTGCGGAAGTCATCATCAGAGTCAGGTGAATAGTTGTTGTCAGTAGAATGTTCCTAGTCCAGTTCGTGTTAAATGATAGGTCAGTTTTGCCGTGATGTTATTGGCTGTAAGACTCAAGTGGTGTAAGTCGGTCGTGATTGATCTGTTTCAATCCGTTGGTAAAGTTAGGCCGTTCTGTTCGTTTCTAATGTTAAAGTCGTGAATGAGTCGTTTGTATGGAGCCGGTAGTAGTTGACACCTGCGTTCGTCCTTGTCTTTAACGTTGGTTAGTATGCAACACGACAGACAGCTTATTCGGAGAACAAATACCTTAACCGTGTTTTTTCAAAGAACAACTACAACGACGACATCATCCAACGAAACACTCCCCAACGTACTACTACTACCGAAACAAACGACACCGTAACCCCTACGACTACAGCAACCATACCGTACATAAAAGGCATGTCTGAGAACATCTCGCGCATCCTCGCCCGCAAACCCATCACCACACTACGTTAGTTACTAACCAACGTTAAAGCCAAGGACGAACCGAGGAACAGACAGGGAGCGATTTATTAGATCAATTACTCCGACTGCCAAGCCTCTTACATTGCAGAGACTGGCAATAACCTCGCAACAAGACTGACTGAACACAGACGGGCGACGAGGAAAGGTGATGTCAACAATCACATTGCTGAACATCATCGACTTACGAACCACGATATTGACTAGGACTCTGCGCAATGCCTAACCTACAGCACTAACCACTTTCAACAGCTGACTGGAAAGCTGGTTTACTAACTTAGAACAGACTCCCCTCAACAGGTGTCAACTACTACTGGCTCCATACAAACGACTCATTCACGACTAACAGAACGACCTAACTTTACCAACGGATTAAAACCGACCAATCATGACCGACTTACACCTCTTGAGTCTTACAGCCAATAACATCACGGCAAAACTGACCTATCATTTAACACGAACTGGACTAAGAACATTCTACTGACAACACCTATTCTTCTGACTCTGATGATGACTTCCGCACAGGTTGTCGAAACGTCAGTCACCACCACCGACAGCAGTCCCTCTCAGGACTACACTCACCCGGACGATCACACTACACTTTCAAATGTTACCCCCGGGTTCAAACCATTTACTGTATCACTAAAATGTTGTTGGTCGGTTATACGGTGGTGGCTGAGGTAGTTTTTCTTTCAGCTATCAGGTGGGTTCTGAGGATGGAATGCAGACTTTACCAGCAGAGGAAGTTCTTGGTATACCAACAGCTAAAGTCCTTCAGCAAGGAATTCACAAGGTGAACTGATACTCGCTGTACACAAACATCTATAGCTTCATCAGTAATTTATTCATAAACGATTCTACATTCTTGAGGGCACGACTTGGATATTGGGAGTGGGTTGGATGATGATACAATTTAAAAAACCGTGGGTGGTAACCCAAGTCTAACGGACTCTTTTAGTTCAATTGGTTATTTATAGATCAAACTGCTATGTTTTCCAACGAGATAAGTATCCCTGTGGTTCATTTATCAATGAAACAACAAGCTTTGTACTCAGTTAGATAAACAGATCTATTTTAGCAATATTTGTCGTGTTGAACACGTGTGGATGTTTATCCAACAGATCGAAAGTGTCGTGCTCATGCTGCTAGAGAGGTTGACGTTGCTGGAAAAAGAAGTTAAGGGCAACAAGGCAAATATGGAAGATGATGAGACAAATTTAACGGCGACAGGTTCTGACAGTGCGAGGGAAACACAAAAGGAGAGCGACTCTGCCAAACAAAACAGAAAGAGAAGAAAGTAATCCACATTTAATCTCTTGCTGCCTCGAATATGTATGATCACCTTAGTTGGATTAGATTTGAACATAAGTCAAATATGTTATTTCTCAGTTAGCCCTGTTACTGTTCAAATTGCAATGTATCATGCCAATGGATGCTAAAAATGTGGAACATTTAATGAAATTAATACGCAAGTTTTCCGAGGCATAGTGAAATTTTGTGTTATAATGCTTGTCCTCAGTTTGAGAGGTAATTTAGTGGATCGTACCATTGAAAGAGAATTAGTTCGTTATAGAATAATGACACTTGATACAATATGTTAGAGATTTCCACAATAGCACGTGTATTTATTGTGAGTGGTATGGGAGGGCTATTGTTAACGATTATGATCATTAACGATGACGAAAACGTCGGAGGCAACGAGAAATTTGATAATGGGGGTAGATTCTCTAACAGACAGTCCCAGTGGTGAGGCATAGGAATGTGCGTTGACCAAAGGGGACCATGCAAACATAATTGAGGTTGGATTTTAAACGTACGTTGTCCCTATTTTTGATCGTATTTTTTACTCGTAATTAAGTAAAGAAATTTAGCGTCTCCACGCAAGTTAACAATACTCAAGTTATCTGGTACGATGTTTAGTACCAATCCTGATCATTTCTTAGTCTGTTTATGTTACAAAATTTAAACTAAACCAACTCAGAAAGACTCGTGTGCACAGGGACTGATCATGGACTAACCATGATTAAGAACAATTTTAATGTCTCAGAGACAACACAGGTGATCGGAGACTGAGTAAAATTATGTCATGTCTTGACAAAGCTACGTAAGCGGCACATGATCAGCTTAACGTAGGCTTAAGCCTCATCAGTCTTTATACTGTGCTCCATGAAAGCCTTTACTCAGGGAACCATGACATCTCTCAAAAACGCCCCTTCATCTCCCTCAAGAATGCTGGTTCCCAGGTCACAGAAGTTCAAATCTGTGGCTAGTTTGTAGCGCATTCTAACGTCGGTAACGAATCCCAAGAGCCTTTTCATATTAACTGCCGCTTGAGACGTGCGTGAGTTTTCATTTTTGTACCTAAGGAAAATTAAGAACCGTTAGTTCTTAGAAAACCATTGCTTTGGTCAAGACAAGCCTGAATGAATACAGAAACAAATGACAACACACATTTCATTTCCCATGGTCCCTCGGCTCTATGCTTTACTGCAAACACCTTTTTTTACCCAGGAATCATGCCTTAGTCGAACATGTGTCTCTGCGACCCTGAGTTAAGACTTTGTCCTCCCAGAAACTACATGGAAAATTTCTTGATGTTGACATCACTGTCACAATTAAAAAGACAAAGATAACCTGAACTGTTCTTTCTTTTTCCAAAGAAGCGGATATTCTTTCTACCACCTCCTTACGAAACGAACAATTCAGAGGTGGTCCAAGGATCATAAAACACTTATTATTTGCGACAAAAAAGCCGACACAGTGGAACTTAGATCGTAATATTCAAGATTGGAAAACCACCTTCATACCCAATCCCCGTCAGTATTTTGATTCCCTTACCCCTTTATCAATGTTGCACTTTGATTTCTTGATCAGACAGAGCTGAATAGAGTAAGGTGTGTATCTCAATTCAAATTTCATGAAAAGTAGCGGATTGCTGTCATTCGAAAGGATTTGTGGTTGTGTTACTTACTTGGTAGCGACATCGACAAAGAGATGGTTTGCGAGAGGCATGGCGGAGCTCATGTCTTGAAGGTAGTCGAAGTTGCCCTTCATCACTACTTGGTTATAAAGAGCGTCAACCCACAGAGAGAGGTCGCGCTTTTTGTACGCATCAGCGACTAGAAGAGACTGTTGGCACAGAAAAGAAGTCGAGTTAGAAACAAGGTATCAGTAGCATAAAAAACAATGCGGTATGTGCCTATAATGAAATATTTAGGAAAGTGCGCACGCTCTCATTGGCCGATAGGTGTACTTAGATGTGAGTATGTACACATTTTGATGTCACGCTTTTTCAAGGCAATAGAGGAGATAGCGTCCTCTAGACACGCAAGGGTTTTGAGAATTCGAGAAAGTTATGCAAACCCTGGACCCCTTCTCAAAATTAAAATTCTCTCATCCCTATATGTTGAGATGAGGATATACAAACACGGTAAAAGCCCTCTACTTGTTAAGTAAACCATTAAATATTAGGTGGAGAAGTGATTCAAAATGAAGGAAAACCTAATGAGCATTGGAGCACGAGTTGCACCGTGCTACCCAAAATCACTAGTATTGCTCGACAGAGACACCCAAAACACTTGAGAATAAACGTCTTATTCCTCGCAGCCACAAGATGTTCTGGTTACTGCATAGATATTAAAGAATTATTGCAAGGCCTCGTTTGATGATAAAATCTGATGCAGCAAATATCAGCAATTAATTAAACTTGAGTCGAATGTTGGTACCGTTAAATAAATCATCATAAAAGCACCAGTCATGTGAAGAAAGAAGGTTTCCATGAATACATGGATAATCCGGAGATTCAACATCAAGCAACCTTATCATTGACTGTGGTTAAGATTCTACACTTAAGAAACAAGACATGAATCGTCGTTTGATTAATCTATTGATAATTGTTAAGTTATGTAAATGCAAATGACTGTTATCACAATTAAAAACAATCTGCAATGCGTACACCTCTAACCTGAAAGAAGTGCGTGTGATGGGCAAGGAATTTCTTCAAAGCAACGTCACTCAAGTTTACTACTGTGACTCCAGAGGAAAGAAACTGGATCTGCAGGTGAACCAATCTTGCATTCTTCAGACAGGTCTGTGAATGTCGCCAGCAGTTCTCCTAATGGTTACAAGAAAGGAAACCTGAGTTGCTAAACTAGTAGATTAAGAATACGGTAAGGACTGGAGAAGAAGAATATCACAATCTAGGGTTTAGATTCAGAGTCAAAACACTCATTCGGTTTTCGCCGCCAGTTACAACAACAACAACAACAAAAACCTGACAAGAACTAAAATTATTATTTCAGTTACATATCTCACCGGCGTGTTACCCACTTACCTTGGCATAGTTATCCGAAGCGTAGCAGAAGGATTTCATAATGGAATTTAGTTTAAAGAAAACTTCTGCAGCTCCTGAAGCATTTTAAGAAAGGTCATAAAAGCCATATTAGTCGAGAACAAAGGTTCGATACTAAATGAAGACTGACACAGGCATCGCAGATTCTCAAAAAAATAACCGCAAAAAGGAGACGGCACGAACTTGTGAATTACGTAACTGATGTATTTGTTTTAATCTACTGACTACGAAGCCAAGCAGAATAAGATAAAGCTGCATCCAATTTGCAAACATAACTTAAAAGGTTATAAATCTGATTCTGATTCCTTAAATACTTGCAAAAGAAAGTCGAATAGGTTATAGAATTGCACTAATTAACAAGACCCTTATAACAATCTATGGCACACGATTTCCACAAGTTATGACATCCCTTCCGTTTCCTTACATTCGGTTTATCTATCTTTTTCCGTAGGCTGAGTTTGATTAAAAAGATTATCTTAACTTGAAAAGGCGTCGCTTCAGTCCATTTAATGCAAGGTTAATCTTTTGCCCTGTGAATACTTGAATGATTTAACGTTCACTTTCACTCTACACCTTTTCAATTTCTCTTTCACTCTACAGCGAGTATGCCTGATTAAAGTTCCGGTTGACAGAACGGTATGATATTCTTACTTTCGTCACGTTTACACCATTTATTTACGGACATACGATAATATGAAAGGTCTTCAGTACATTGTATGCTGATGAGCAGAGACCGAGATGACACGAGAAGCATGTGTCATTTAGTGAATCTTAAGATCAAGCCCACCTTTCTCAGCATTTCCCTGGCCGTGTTTCTTATCTGAAACGAATAAAAAGGGGATCAAAAGGGGGCCCAAAAACATACATCTTTTTCGATGGTTTAACATGTAGTACGCGCGGATATTATGGGAATTACGTAATTAGCAAATTTTCCGCTCTTTTTATGTGTTAACCCTGGAATAATAGATTTATCATTCCACTATTATTTCACTTTCTAATAGTTTGGCTTCATTTTTTCGGAGTACTTCCCGCAGCCTTGTCAGAGTGTCGTATCGATCACATAATAGATGCGCGAAAGACGAACACAGCAGACAATACCATTAAATTGTTTTTAATGATCCTTAACAGAATTTGATGCACCTAAAGGTTTGTTTCTTGAAGAGTCAAGTCTGTCTTTCATATTTTGTCCTGTTACCCTATGTAATACTATGGCACATTTTGCGTGTTCCGTTGCCCTTACATGGTAAGATGGGGTTATTGGGATAATAAAGTTTCTAAATTCTTAAGCTCCCCTACAGATATCTGTACTCTAATGCAGAAAATTAATCACTTTGGGCGGAAAAGAAGAAAGATGCGTTCGATTTGCTTATAACGGGAAGTGCCAGAGGACGCGTGAGGAAAGAAATGATTCAACTCCAAAAAAGGAAGACCCGTTGCCATTGTAACATACCATGGTTTTACTTATGGGAGTTTGTAAGATGATGCTTTGTTTGAAATATTTATATTTTCATGTTTGACAATTGATCGTCGATCATCGTTTCAACCAAATTTTAAAATGGTGCCTTTGCAGCTTTCCAAACATTTGCAACGTTATTCTTTTGGGGCCCTAAACGTAAAACTTGGCCAGTTCCTGAAAAGCAACATCCTTTTTTGACCCCTGAAAAACAGTTCTTGGTGTTCTCGACAAAGCACAATTTCCGCTTAAACCTTTAATGACCAAGCCAATTTCCAAGTCCACTCGACAACCAAATACACTATTCATCACAGGAAAATACCTGGGAAACAATTGCCTAAACTAGCCAGCTGCTTGACGGCGGTGTCCTCCAAAGTTTTGGCAATTTCCCGGTACATGCGAAAGTGATGCGCCACCATAGAAAACTTGTCTGTGTCCTCCGGATGTTGTTTTCTTAAGTAATCAAGAAGCGCTACTTTCAGCTTATTTTCCTGAGGCAAAAAAAAAAAAAAAAGACAACCACATTGTTGGCGCTTAAAAGCGTGAAACAAGAAACAATAGAACAAACATAAACAAAGAAGGCAATAAGCTACTAACTGAAATAAATGAAAAAAAGGAACGAACGAATCAACAAAAGAGCCAGACTTACAACAGGACATTTAGTGTAATTTTTCCCAGTAGGAAAGCCCAAGAGAAAATAGGTACTGACAAAAAATAAAGCTGTTCAAGTATCAGGCAGATAGGAAAAAATGCAAAACTGACCAAAAAAGTCCTCGCTATTTTACTGGTGTGTTTTCTTTCCAAAATTTTCATAATACAACGATCAGTGGAGCAATTCAATATATTTTATAAGTGGTGGGTAGGAGCACAAATAGCCTCCTATGCCTCTCTTCCACGAGAAAATTCTACTGTTTGTTCACGCCTTGACAAGACTAATTTACCTGTATAAAAGTAACAACAATTAGGAATGCTATTTTTGAAAGAGGTCAATCAAACGAAAGTCCACATTTAAACTGGGAAACAAAGGCATGAATGACTTAAAAGAAAGAAACGTCTGGTTACACATTTGTAGCTTTGGTACGCATATCAACCACAGTTAAATGCAAAACAGTATTGGTATTGAATACAAGAACTTAATTCATTTGACGGTCATGTCCTGAACTTAAGTCGCCTCTACAGTGACTGACAACTGACACTCTGAGAGGAACTCAACACCAAAGTCCATGAGGTTCTTTGTTAGTCTAGTGTCATAAGTCTGGTTTAGGGAAACTGATGTGTTCATTATACTGGATCGTGATGGCTTGGTAGGCTCCAAGAACTATTGTCAACTGTGATTGGTCAGTTTCGATTTATTGTTTAAGTGAGGTTCTGTGGGGTTCTTTTTTTATTTCAAAGAAACTACGTCACGGCTTGTTCGTTGGAAAGAAATCAAGCGAACATATTCCTTGCATCTTTGGGTTTGTAGTTTCATCCAATGTGTAGGCAAGTCTTTGGGGATAACCACAAAGACTCGGAATATCGTAATGTTTTCATTCTCATGGGTGCAGTCAGTTTTCAGTATTCAAAAAGAAGTGTTACCTTGTCAATCCCTTTCCGACAGAGAAGTTCGAAGTGCTCGTGCTCGAAGAGTGTGTCAATGATGTAAGACATCTCGTTAAACCTTCCGATACCCGTGAGCAAACGAACCTACAGAAGAAAAGGAAACTGTCTCTACAATTAACTTTTTTTCAATTGCCATACAAATTAAGTAAATGTTTTTAGTAGAGAAGCACACGTTACCATGAGCATGTAATCTCTGGATTCGGTCAAGGCAGCTGTGAGTACTCGTCCATGTCGCAGGACTGTTGCAATACCCTCCATGTTACAGGCTAAAGTGTGACATTGATGGGCACGAACCAGCAACTCTACTTTCAAGCTCAATACTGTTTAGAGACAGAGTTATATGTTTAAACTTTGAGAGGCAACACATGAGTACGCTGAACTACTGGAAATCGGGCGCACTACTGAAATGCTGGTGTGAAAGAGTATTACCTATGGCAAGCCAATTGTAGCAATATTCAATAAATGGAATTTTCAATTCAAAGAGTCTAGTTTAGTTCAATTCAACGCGTAAATTTATATTCAGCACACTATTTTTTGGGTTCAACGTCCCATTTTGCATTCAATACACTTTGGTATCATTCAACGCGATTGCTTCGGTTCAACCTCTTTTTTTATTTCAATTACGCATATTACGTTCAACACTTTTTATTTCGTTCAATGCAATTTATTTTCGTTCAATTATTTACTGCACAGCGGTTGACCGAAAGAACTCTAGCTTCCTCAGTGTTCACTTCTCGCTTGCCTTCCTAGCCCGCCATTTTGAAGAAAACGAGTAGTTGTCAGAACAAAATAATGTGATCGCTCATCTCTTTTGAAGTTGTCGTCTTGGCTTGGAGAAGCTTCAGAGCTTGTGAAAAAGATTTTAGACGAACAGACTGCTAGCTCTGAGACATCCCGGCCTGAAACTTCAAGTTCTAGTGGAAACCGAGTGTTCTCAACGTTGCAAAGAGCGAGGTCAATGTTAAACTCATCACAATCAAGGTGTTAAATGGGGTTGACAGGGTTCAGCCAAGGTTCTAAGCAAGCTAATCGTTTGATCGACAACCGTCTGCGTTTGCAAACTATCTAGGGAGCAGTCTCCTCGAAGTAAAGACTGTTCTGCTTGGTCCAGAACTGTATGAAGAAATGTTGATAGGTCCTCGTCAGCATTAAATTTGATTGTAAAGACATTACGATCAATCAAGAAGCAAAAAATTAAAATGGCCTATCAAAAAGTATTCAAGCCTTTCGTGATCTGCCGAGATCAAAAGGGACTGGGCAATAATGGTCAACCGCTGTGCAGTAAATCATTGAACGAAAATAAATTGCATTGAACGAAATAAAAAGTGTTGAACGTAATATGCGTAATTGAAATAAAAAAAGAGGTTGAACCGAAGCAATCGCATTGAATGATACCAAAGTGTATTGAATGCAAAATAGGACGTTGAACACAAAAAATAGTATGCTGAACATAAATTTACGGGTTGAATTGAACTAAACTAGACTCTTTGAATTGAAAAATCCATTTATTGAATATTGCTACAATTGACTTGCCATAATTACCCCCGGGTTCAAACCATTTAATGAAATACTGATATCAACATTATGGCGTGATCCTTTCCAAGAACCTTAGTAAATTCATAAATACAATGTGATCCTGGAAGAGAGTTTGCCCAATACACGTAACACGTTTTTGTCGGGTCGCTCTGAAAATCCGATGCTATGCATTATGCCACTGATGCAAAGAGAAACACAGGTTTCTCGGGGATAAGATCTGGTACAGTATCTAAGATAGAATGATACGTAACATTACTGGCGTGGTACTAAAACTTTCCAGAGACGCTAAAGATTCACTCTTTTACAAATTACACATCGTGATACGGATGGCGGTTCACTTCGGATCGTATATTTTCTCTAAATTTCACCAGAAAGAGCACAGCAAGAGCGGCCAAAAGTCTTTTTAACAGTCGGACCTTCAGAATGATAAACCGTTGAGTCGTAAATTAATTTGAATGATCTCCACCGTCGCATGCGAATGCTGAAGAAAAAGTGGTACTTATAGTGCAGGGAAAGACATCTAAATCAATCTTTCACGACTCTGAGAGCCTGTTGAACATGGAAAAAGGATAAAAATATATACCTCCAGTACCTATGGTTCCTGATGCATACTCGTTGACTAACGATGAAACCTCATCTAAGAGTCGACTGCCCAGCAAGGAATAGTCAGGACACAGGCGAATCATGTGACTTATGTCTTCACAAGACGGTGCTGCATTTACGGTTAAATCACTGTATTCTTTCTCTGAAATTTCTGTATGCAATACAATATTATGGATTTAAATCAAAACCCTTGACCACTCAGTACATTCTATTCCTTCTAGGATTATTTCAAAGATCAATTCTCCTACCAAGGGAGAGACACGAGTTTGAAACCATTATAAAAACACTGTTCTACAAATTTCATTTGGATTTGTCTCGATCACGAGGTTGATAAGAGAAACGGTACTTGAGCAGTTAAAAGAAAATTACATGATTATCTTACTCCGCAAGGCTGACTGAATCACTATTCAACATTCAAGGAAACATTTGAAATGACATGAAAACAAACAGACACACTTAAAAAAAAGTTACCTTCACCAGTGCAGTGAACAATGAGAGAATTCAAGATGATAGTGGCCAAAAATCCAGTCACCTAATTGAAAAATATTTTATTTGTTAGAAATTAAGCCCGAACTCAAGTAGTAATTAGCATATAATGTCTCAAAACTGTTACCTCTACAGAATCAAGATGAACGGCTTTAATATAACCCTCCATCAGTTTATAGCGGCTATCAAATCCAGAAAGTAACAACGAATGGAGCACCTTCAGGGGCTTCTTATTCACAATTTGCTCGTAATCTTGCCCCAGCGTCTGGAAGAGATAATAACGTGGTAAACACAGAACATCGAACAACGATGCGACTAATTGGGATCAAACGCTGATTGAAAGGGAATCATAAACAGAATCACACGGCTAACTTTGCCTGAAATAATGATGGCGCACGTAAGAGATGACACGACTTTTAAGCAGACCGTGAGAAATAAATCAAGACACATGAAATATTACACGTAAAGTTTGACCGGGTATTCGCAGTTCGAACAATTTCTTTATTCAGGTGATGGCGGTAAGACTTGTAGAGGACAGCGATCGAACGAAGAAGGAACATTTAACATAACCGGAAAAGTGTGTTTTGTTGTTCTTGTAGCTGAAGACAGCAAATTTTTTGCGATTTCAAGAGTTTAGCGACGGACAGTCATCCGCGCGCACAAAACGACGACGGAGGAATGGCTAATTTGGGATGGAATCAAACCAGTCCAATGCCGGTTTGATCTTTCCCAAACAAAGAAAAAACCAGGACGTAGCCTTTGAATGCCCTTCTGTATTCAGCCAAATTCGCATAATTTGTACTCAGCCAATGGGCTTCAACGGAGAGAAGGGCGCGTGTTACATTGGCAACAAGCACCAGCCATAAATAAATATCAAATAGTGCTGATCTTACTTGAGCAACTTTGTAGCAGGCGATGACACAGGTACAACACCTCTTTCCCTGCCTACTGTGAAAAGCTAGGCTTTCCAAGGCGGAGATGATATCTTCGACTTTAACCCAATCCGAAGAGGAAACGGAGTCGTGACGCTCGTTTGGAACCTTCTCCGTGAAAGACGAGGAGAAAATAAAACTACCAGAGCGGGAGAATGGGCTAGCGCTTCCAAAGCTTTCACGTCTCTGAGCATTTCGGGTAAGGAGGCTTCTTACATGAACATCTAGGGTGTCTATGGAACGTGTTCCTTGAGCCAAGTGAATGCAAGACTAATCCAGAGTTAAGACAGGTATGTAAGTACAAGCTCTGACAAATACAGCGGAGCGTTTTTTAATACAAGCGCCAAGCGTTTATCCTTACTCACATTTCCCAAATTGTTTGCGGGATAGTTCGTTAGGGCAAACAAACCTTGTCTTTTAAGAGTTAAGTGTGGCTGTAAACCATTTGTGAAAGTAGTTCTACGAAAAAAGTTTTTTAACACCTCATTTCGCCCTTATGAAAAAAAAAATTGTTAAAAAGGTCACGAGACTGAACATTTTCTCGTGTAAATTTTAAGCTCTGCTATCAATATAAATCGCGCTACTCCTGAAACAGAAAATAGTTGCTAAAATCAAAAGGAGAAAGCTACTCTATCATCATTTCAGGGGAGACAAGCACGTACCATAGGAAAGATTGCTTTTAAATCAAAAGTTCCCCTATTCTCGCTGCTAAAGAGACAGTAAACGTCTTACCATGACCACGTCTAACGCTAAACAACTGCGATTGAATAAACTTGCAAGCCATCGCGCCTGGCTCACATGACAATGTTCCAACAAGCGACAAATGATATTTTCCAACGCTCGGATTTCCTATCAATCCAAACCAAAAACAACGGATCAATCCCAAACAAAAATAACAGGTAAAGTAAGTAGGTGCTTTATTAACCTTCCTTGCTGGAGAAACTTCACCGCCACAATGGCAAATTCTTAATGTCATTGGACAACAATGAAAATCAGCTTAACAGTTGCGGCAGTTTGCTCTAGAAAACAGCATTAATATCACATGCCAAAAATAACTTTTGGCCATATAAGTTAAGTTATAGTTACGACTCCGAGAATATTTAGTCATGAAATTCACACTACAAAGACTGCTGTGTGTTCTAATTAAACTTCAGCTGTCAGCAGTAAGTCGGCACTGAAGTTTAGTTCGGCAATTGGTGTTGCAGTGACAAATAATTAAAGTGATGAGGGTCTGCACTAGAAACCTCCCTCCCTCCAAAGAAAAAGGAAATAAAAATGCAATTTACACGAACAGATTCGTATGAACAAGCCCAAAACAATTGGTGCCACTTGGCAGAATGAAATGCAAAAAAGTAAAGGTCAATGAATCCTACACATAAATCAAATGCATCGCAAACAAATCAAATATTAAATAAACCATAACAGTGTTGAAAAAAAAAAGCAACGCAAAACAAAAAAGCTATCGATTCACATCTGTTTGGTCGAAACTTTTCAGTCCTTTTCAAACTTTCCAGTCTTTTTCAAACCTTGTCGGTTTCCAGCGGACATTCACCATGGAGTTGTCCTTCAGCAGTATCCTCTTGCACTAGTTCTTCTAACTTAACTGGAATCACAACTTTGTTGGTTGTTTTGACTTCGTTTAATAATTCCACTTCCGTTTCGTGAGAAAGAAATTCTAGATGGCTAACAGATCTGGTTAACCTGTCCTAAAAGGGAAAAAGAGCATGAGTATAATAAGGCACAAAAGAGCGTGACAAGAAAACCAGTCATTTTTGTGGAACTCATCCACAGCGCATGCGTTTAAGGAAAGCCTCTGGTTCTTTCGCTCAAGAATAAGCACCATAAGTTCACAAAGTTATACTTTAGAGTATATATGCACCTGTTTATAGCTAGGAGAGAGTTTAGAGCAACTGGTGCACACCTGAATGCCCCTCCCACTCACCACACATAAACAGCATCCAAAAGATTGTTATGGTCAAGCCTACTTTTGACACATAGTATCTATTCTCATTCTTCTTTCCTTGTTTAATTCAGTTCACATTTTATACCTCTTTCTCAATTTCTGCTCGTATCTTATACAGCCAGCGTTTCTTTTGAAGTTCTTTCAGCTCCTCCAATGGTCTATGTTGCTGGTCAGAAGAGGGAAAAAACCACTTCACAGCTATCCCAACTAGCATAGCACGTTCAGTAAACGACAATTCAGTGTCGCTAGCTTGATTCTGCAAGGTAAGGTAATAAATGAGATACCAGCTTTGGTCATTTTAACTTTGGCCATCTTGACGATAACTTTATCAGTGGTGTAGCCACAGGGGTTTGTTAGTAACTCAAAAGACTGTTGCAGTTGTGTCCTAGTACCCTTTGTACATTGTGAAACAGTTGTTTCCACCCTCTTTCTAGCTCTTCTCGGTTATCTGTTTTAACATCCCTCGAATCATTTTCAGTAAAAAAAAATAATAAAATAACGCTTGATGAAGAAGTGCAGCGCATGGGACATTTCTTGAGTGACAGTTGACCACACACTTCACCGTAGTTGAATGTACTGCACGCGTGTGAGACTCATAACTATGCCTTATAGATCAATCAAGTATTAGTACAAGGTTACGGTATCACAGGAATTTTCCGCGAATATAAGGTTAATTTTAAAACGTCACAATCGTGATTGCATACTCTGATCTAATAACAAATATGGACCAATAATTACTTGCGAAGTGTCCTGGTTATGTCTTACAGCTACGAATCGACAGAGTTCATTTTTGCATTCGTGGTCCATAATGTAAAATTAGAAAGAGGGCAATATCCGACCTCCTTGAAAGAACTGGACCTGGTCTGGCCCGTATTCCCACAATAGCAATGAGCTCAATCATATATTCACCAAACTAATCCATTCTTTAACTTTTTTTCTATCTTCAAGGCGAACGGATACATTGTTTTGTGAACCCATTTCTGTACGAACTGACAGAGCGAGCCAAATAGACAGGAGAAATATTGTTCACCTCAAAGAATGAGCCTGCGGTGTCTGCTGTACAACCATTGTCTTTGAAGCTCTTTTCTGCTCTGTGCCAGAAAGCGAGTCTTCCCTGTTCTATCTCCCACAACATGGAATTCTTGGCAATTTCTAAGTCAGCTTCAACCTACAGTCGAAAGGTAGAATAAGAAGGAGGGTGCGAGGTCTGTTGGAGGTGTCGTCATATGACAGACTCAGAATGCTACTGTATTATGTATGTCAAGCATTATTTAAAGACCCTATTACATGAAGGGGGAATATCTCAAAATTAAGGGATCACTGAGTTTTTGTTTAAAAAACACTTCATCATGTGACTCTCGCCTTTTGCAAAATGTGCAGTCACATGACCTAACTCTTTCCAGATTTCACGGTATTGAGTCGCTGGGTTAGAGGTCAAGATCAAGTTCTGACCATTTTATAGACCTTGGCGAGCCACCTTCATGGCCGGGCCTCCCAGCTCCTTTTACCCTGGCCAGACCAATAGTCATGGTCTTAAAATAACTGAGGAGAATTTGCTACCTATCCATCAAGAGATGGATAGATATTCTAGTCTTCTTGGATAAGGACGAATAAACCGTAGGCCCCGTCTCCTGCAGAGTTAGGGGTAGGAGACGTTAATTTCCCACGCACGAGATTACTGTGTGGTGGATGTCCTCCCCTGGGGTGGGATGGGTGGTTGTTCACAGGGCCCCATTTAAACTATCGATCTGCTAAACTGGGCTACCCTGTATAAATATTCGTAAATACAAATACAAATGATACAAATACAAAAAAAAAAAAAAAGAAACTAGGCCGTTTTGCATTTTTGGTGCGGTCATGTTTCTGAAGTCTTCTTACCTGTTTTATCGTAATGTGATCATCAGACAAGCCCATCAATTTAGCAAATATTCTGGCCTCTGCGAAGTGCTTAGTCTTGAGCAGGGAACCAAGCACTCTTTCCATCTCAGCTTGGCTATCAGCTTCATTTCCCTGCTCCACCATTACCTCAAGTCGTATATTCGCATTTGTGCCGCGAAGAACTTTACTCACTTCGTGCAGCTCATAATAAGCAGGTACTAAAAAAAAAAAAATCACAACAGAGGTAAACAAAGGGGCTGTATACATATAATTTCTGGCTTCAAATCTAATCGCCTGTTCGAAGCAGTTATCCTCTTGAAAGTGGATTTCACTATTTGGATTCTCATGGAGCTTACCGTCTTGTTCTAGCTACACAGTTGTTCGTCCCTTTCTTACAACTTAAGTCTTTTTTTTTTCTTTTAAGTACAAGGAAACTTTCAGAGAGGCTCAAAGATTTTTCACCTGGTGAATATCATCTCTTTTTTATGCCCTTTAAGTCAAGTGATCAGAACAAACCTTTACACGCAAAGTTTCGTCCAAACATGCTTTCTGCCAAAATTGCGAGTAAATGGCCCTGTTCGTGGGCATTGTCACCGCGTGAGAGCATATGCTTCGTGACTCGACAAGTCAGCTCTTCCAGCCATTCCAGACTTCCAATCTTGAGTACAGTCGCGTGCTTGTCGGCAGTGGCTTTCATAGACAGCTACAAAGTAAATAATTATATCATCTACTGACACAGTGAACTGCGAATAATAGTGAACAACCACTCACATCAAGGAACATCCTTTAGTTAAATAAGTTGAAGTTTTTAATAATAATGAACTTGAACGCTCATCAAGAAAAAAAGCTTCTGAAATTAGATTAACCTTTTAAATCAGTATGTTTACATAAACGGTCAACAACGCCAGGGTTATTAAAACAGTTACCAACAAACTCTTTCTCAAAGACAAAAATTGCGCACTTTGAGTATCAAATGGATCGAACAACAGAAAAAATTCACAAATCCAGCTATGACAAGCAGATTGAAATTATTCTAGTCGCCTTTAAATGCACACAAGTCTAGCCGTGCTTGTCACCTGACACGGAATGAAATTTGTTTCCAAGTTGAGCTCATTGAAGTCAGGATCGGTCATGGTTTGACTGATGTGCAAATCTAACTGACATTTGAATTCAAATGTCATCCGATTTTTGTTACAACCACTTCTTTTGAGATTTGAGTTTCTTGAAAGTAAGTCAGTGCTATAAATGTAATACGTAGGCCACACGTGTTCGCACTGTGAACACATTTTTACCATACCTTGAGGTAAGTTCTCTTGAATGAAGTCAAATATTCCTGACAAGCTTCATAGTCACGGTGCACCAAAAAGGTCTCGTGAAAACGAAAAAAGTTTAGAAGAGGACTGGCCTGAGAAGTAACAATACCAAAAATTCTTCGATAAGTATTACTCTGTATTTCCATGGATGTTAAACTTATTCTCTCGACTACAAACCTTGCTAAGTTTTGTTTAAAAAAAAAATACCCGCTTCTCTCTCAAGGCTGAGATCCTGTTTTTTTCAGGTGGTCCAATTTTCTCGTTACCAATACTGAAAAGGCAGGGAAAGGGGAATTTTTCAACAGCTGTGACGAGGATTGTTGCTGTAGTCCTGCCTTTTTAAAGTAAAAATAAAAATCAATTTTGGCTTACATAGCCCGTCAGAAGAGCCGTAACTGCCTTGTGGTCTTTCTGGTTTTATGTTGGAGGTGTAGATACTTTCGTGTATCTGGCCCGTTGATGAAGAGTTTTCGTCATTCTTAAGTTGTGCAAAAGATTCGTGCAAAAGGTGTTTTGATAAATTTTTTCCAAATCGCCCTTTTGTTTGCACCACTTGAAACTGGTAAATAACCACTATCGTGATATCTTTGAACAAAATCATTACTCACTGGATCAAAGATGTAAAACGCCTTGGCTAGGGTATGAGCAAGTTTCTCTCTCGTTTCCACAATAGTTAAAATGAGGGCTGTAAGGTCTGTTAGGGTCCACTTGTGCCACTGAAGTTCTGTTGAATTACAATATGCTTTGATTTAATATGTAGTAGATAACAGCAGTGATGTTGACTTACTTCCGGGATTCTGGGCGGTTTGAGAGGCAATTCACGACGGCTAAACTAGCGATTTTTGTAAATCCGTGCGAATAAAATATGTTATTATTACACAACGTTACCATGGATCAGTCTAACAAAATGACGAAAGACATGATTCAGATAATCTCAGGGTGCCTTTCAACAATGGAGCTGTCTAGCCAGACTTCTCCATTTAAATTGAACAAACCTCTCTCAAAATAAGATATTTTTTCATATAACTGAGATTTCAAGCTTTTTCACTTTTAATCTGGACATAGTTCCATCTGACAAAGGCCTGAGACCAAAAGGTTCATTATAACTGCCAGAACGCCATATTAACAATGTAAGTGAAAAAACTCCAACTAACTTCTACTTTCAACACACTACTGCGAAAACTTCAAAACTAGTTTCGTCCACGACTTCGTCAGTTGATCACAAACAAAAGACTAAAAGTTTCAAAAATTGAAATTTTTTAAATTTTCGCAGTAGTTTTTTCACTTACATTATTAATATGGCGTTAAGTAATACTTTTTTGGCTTCGATAAGTAGAATTTCACAACGAACTGCCAGAACAGTTACAGGTTTTTTCTTATATTGCATCATATCATACACTGATCTACAAATTCACATTGCGACAGTACATTCAATGTGGATTCCTTCTACTAGGAGTCATTTCTTGGGTCAAACATCTTTCTGTTACTTGTTTACGTACATTACTTAATGCATGTATATCAAACTCCAGCATGAAAGTCCAGTAGACAATGACTACTTCGGCCAAGCTTTTTGATTGGTAAAGTAATCTTCCTGATTGATGAAGTCTGTTCACTCAGTACAGAGTGAGTGTCCTTAAAACTTCAGCATCTATCTACAATCGTTATATTCTTCCCCTCGACTATTTTTAACACCCAAACAAAAGACAACAACTATACACAAGTCTCGTATGTAACATGGTAAAGCAAATAAAAACTGATCCAAAACTAATCCAAATGAGACGATTCATGTTTTAGGGCCATATGAAAACCAAGCAAACAAAGGACAATTTTAATGTTACAATCATACTTTGTACATCCGAGGAGCCTCGCCGATGACTGCCTGTTAATGGAGTATTAAACGTTAGACATGATGGTCTTGTCAGGTGTTAGATAACAATCAAATAATTGAAGTATTGGTGAACATTTGTTTAAAGGTAACAAGAGTTAATATCTTCGGTCACTCTTTATAATCGTTAACATAGTACAAAGGTGCTCGCGGTGAAGTACGGTATTGGTTTATCAACAGTCGTCTAAGTAATGTGCTGTAAGTGATGTTATGTACTGTACGTTTAACTTAGTAATTCAAGGAAAGTGTGAGTAGGTAGTGCTACTGTCTGTAATATATGTAAAAAAAATATATATATATATTTATCACAGAAGGTTATGTAATTCAATTGCAAAGGGCTCCTACTCCAATTGATACTGCCAAGTCCTCAAAATGTGGTATACAATTCTGTTCATAATTTTGATCAAATGAACAGGTACATATCATTAAAAAATCTTTTTTAAGGTGCCTCAGAAGTCCTTCGTAAAAAATTAAGTGCACTAAAAGAGTTTTTACAGGAGAATGTAGGTGAGTTTATCAGCAATAGAACTCTTCAAGAAAAGAGACGGTATAAAAAATTTCACATATCTCTGCTCCATACCTGGGATGGACGCTACGGCAGGTTCCAATACAGATGGGCTCACGGTTGAGCAGAGCCAGGCACAAAGGCAATCAAGTGGCCTGGAATCCTGAGAAGAAAAATAAGGCTGCTTAAACCTCCTGACAAACTTATCAACAAATAAGGTATTCGCCAAAGTTTTCGTCAAAACAAATCTTTTTTATTACAAAGGCACTGGTTTTCGTTTTCTTCATCTCCAGGTGACTCCGCAATATGATGTACGAGCACACACACACACCTTTTCAAAGACAACTGTGCAATTGAAGAAAGGCCAAGACATGCTTTAAACAGCTGCTGCTTAACAGACCCTTCTTAACAGCAGCTGAAAACCACTGAATACTAAACCAACAATGGATGTATACCGGTGATTAACCGCCAGGTGATATACCGGTGATATACCGACGAATTACCGCCGGGTGATACACCGGTGATATACCGACGATTTACCGCCGGGTGATATACCCCTTCCTTTCCCAATCATGAACGGGTCTTTGCATGTGTCCAATCAAAGACTAACGCTTTTCCTCATTAATAATGATTGCAGTTTCTGCGAATAACGGTATAGCTTTCACAACTTTCTTCGGTATTATTGTTGGAAAATAAAACTCACGTAGGTTTTCAACTTGGAATTTTAACTCAAAATTTGGTTAAATACAGTTCTCAAAACAACACACAGCTCATTTAATCCTACGCCATAAAAATGTTAAAATATCACTTGTCACCCGTTGCACCCTGTCATTAGTCTAAAATTCTTCTAAAGCAGCCATACCGGAAAGCATGTGGCGAGCACGGATACCAAAGACCTTTGAAGCGTTATTGAATAAGCCAGTAAGCTCCTCCATGGAACTTCTGCAGACTGGCATTTGAACAGGATGTCAAAAAGATTCTGTCGTACTTCATCGCCATCGAGGAGCTTTTCTTGAAAACAAATTGCACATAGTGTAAGTAAAAGCAGTGAAAATATCGCGCTGAAGGATGTAGCGATGAAGTGATGGCCTTCTAAGCACATAACAAGGATTCGGTGTAGGATGGCGTAATAGAAACTCTTTGTTCACATACAAAACAAGTTGCCAACTATAAAATCTCCCTTAATTTAAAATAAGTCACTAACAGCAAATCATAAAACCTGCGCGATGATTTGAGTCTAAACGATAGAATTTCGTCGTGAGAACCTGATAACCCAGCATCAAATGTATCATCCACGCGATGTTCTATTTCCTTGTTCTCCAATTCCTTTTCATCGCCTTGTTTTCTTGATATTCTAGTGGTTTCCTCGTCATCTGCACTACTGCTGCACGATGGATGCACCAGATGTTCCTCTTTTACAGTTTCAGGAGGTTGTGCAACTGTTGTTGCTCTGAGACCCATTCGAGAATAGAACTGAGCACGAACATCTCGAGAAGGTGCCATGACCTGGAAATAAACAGAAATTTATCAGAAGCAGCTTATGCGATGGATACGAATCCTCATTAAGAACTTGTCGAAAAGGATATTTAGCAAACAGAGTACGACATTGAACGTCTGTTATAAATGAAAAGTACTAACTACTGAAGCGAGTCATCAAGGAATATACAATGTGAAACCTCTCCATTTTTCACTCCCCATAACAATCTCCATTATAGAGAATGTGTTTCTGAATAGTGACACCTCTTCGAAGAAAGCAACATCGAAATTATTAATTAAAGTTGGAATCCAAGAGACAAACTTCTTTGAGCCATATTCACGATCGCTCGAGATTGTTAGATATCAAACTCGTTAATTTTTAACATCTCATAAACGAGAATAAAATAAACAAATATATGAATAAAAATAAACGAGAATAAAAGAATAAATAAATATGTGAATAAAAATAAACGAGAATAAAAGAATAAACAAATATATGAATAAAATAAACGAGAATAAAAGAATAAATAAATATATGAATAAAAATAAACGAAAATAAAGAATAAACAAATATATGAATAAAATGTCTTGGCCAATATTCAGCCATTTTGAATTCCCTTTTGTCCAAAATTGTATAGCTCATGGCACTGTAGGTCATTCATCTAAAACTAAAAAGAAGTAACATGAAACTGGATGTTTTTGTACTCTCATAGTAACATACTAAATGAATAATATCCTCCAAATGCATGGATATTTGTCCGCAGATATTGTCTTTTCCGAAACGAACGCTTTTAACGTAGAAGACGTAAGGTTTAAATTTTGGGTTACAGCATTCAGGGTATATCCTTGGATATCCCTCAGTTTTAGCTGGGCACATTCTATCAAATGAAGCGTTTAGATCAATTGGGCGCGATCAAAACTTTTTGATGGATTCAATAACACATAACGGAGATTTCTAAGTTCTATTAGTGTGTAAAGATGCTATGACTATATTTCATACTAGAAAGAACTTGGTAAAGTAAAGAGAGTAAAGAGGTTTACTTCTAATGGACAAATTTGCCATGAGGTGTAAAAAACAAAGGCTAGGATGACTCCCGCATGCGCGCAAGACACCAATTATCTAGTGAACATGGGGATGTTTTTTATCACGTTGTTTACATCTACAGTTTTGATTCTCGTCTACGCGCACCCTGCGAACAATAAAAGAGTGCCCAGGATCTCAATTGTTTACATAATGCATTGATGCTTGCGTAGGGAAAAAGGAGTTAAACGTACACACTTCAAAGAAAAAAAAAAACTGGAGGAAAGCCTTTTCCAGAAGTAGGAATCTTGAATGCCACTCGTGCCTTCTTTGTTGCATGTTGACCTCGCAATATTCTATCGCTGGGAGTAACTGCAAATTTGGGTTCTTTCCAGTCTCATTCACCAGATGAGAAGCGAAAAGCTTTACTTACTTAATCTCTTTTCCGTCAGAATAGTTAAAATTTCTCGGTAGGGGGATAATAAAATGCGATTGTTTAATAACTACATAAACTCAGATACAATGATTAGATGAAGTTCATATATTTTGAACTGCGGTATTAAATACGTATGATGCACGATCCTTCGCAGTAGATAGCGCTATTTATGCAATAGCGAAAATCAGACCTGAAAAAAATCAGGCCTGTACGGGATTCGAACCACTGACCTCTGCGATACTAGTGCAGCGCTCTACCAATTGAGCTAGCAAGCCAACTGGGAAGAGGCCGTCAAGTTGATTCGAACTGCGGTATTAAATACGTATGATGCACGATCCTTCGCAGTAGATAGCGCTATTTATGCAATAGTGTCTGATTTTCGCTATTGCATAAATAGCGCTATCTACTGCGAAGGATCGTGCATCATACGTATTTAATACCGCAGTTCAAAATAGTTATATGAACTTCATATAATTATTGTATCTTATTTATCATCACGGGTTTATTACGAATCAACTTGACGCCTCTTCCCAGTTGGCTTGCTAGCTCAATTGGTAGAGCGCTGCACTAGTATCGCAGAGGTCAGTGGTTCGAATCCCGTACAGGCCTGATTTTTTTCAGGTCTGATTTTCGCTATTGCATAAATAGCGCTATCTACTGCGAAGGATCGTGCATCATAAGTATTTAAACTCAGTTGCGATTTGTTTTATTTTTTTAACTGACGCTGCCAGTTTTCTTTCAGCATCCAGGATCAAATTTTTGATGGCAGTGAACTCCTGAAGTTACTCTCCTCGATTGGATTTTTTACACGATTGTAAAGACCTTCTACATATATTCATAGTTTTGTTTTAAATATAGCTGTCTTGTGAGCGAAACTTTCTACATGAAAGCATAACGCTACCTGTTCTCCTGTCCTGACCAACTTCTTTTTCCGGGGTCGCCTCTTGCCAAGTTCATTACTAGAGACATTCTCTACTTTAACCAACTTGACATTTTCAAAGGCCAAAAGCAAATGTTCTTGGATGTAAGAGTTAGAGAAGTTGTGCTCAATGACATAGACCACCTGAAATTGAAAATACAAATTTTATGGCTTAAGCTTGAAACTAAAACACTAAAACACAATAACCTTAGCTCGCTAAAAAAAAAGAACAGCAACACAGCAGCAATTCACAAATGTTGAAACTCCAAAAAGGCCAAAACAGTGATTTTCAAACATTTTCGGAAAATTTGCAGCCTCTTTCATGCCTTTGTTCTTGTAATATACGAATATTGATACATATTGCTTCGTCAGGAATTTTTTGAAAATGATGCGATAAAAGTACCTGCTCTTTTGGAACTTGACAAGCTTGCGCATGGCAAACAAATGGCAGCCACTTTTCCGCAACTGCACAATCCTGTAAGTATGTTACAGGAAATTCCATCTTGTGAACTCGGCAGAATAGGACCACAAGACTCCAGAGTTGGCCAGCTTCGAATGATGTCCTGGAGATAATAACGAAAACAAAACGAACCAGTTTATGTAAAAATAAGGCATTTAGAGCTTCATTATGAGTACAAAATAACATTTACATTTCAGAGAACTGTTCATTTCTCATTACACCTGACTTTTTGTAATACAAAACAATTTAGCTACAAGTTTTGGTTTACTTTTTTCTACGCATCTACTGCGGTTAATGTTAAGCAAATTTTACTAAAATGATCGTAAAGAAATTTCTTTGACACATAGCCAGGTCTTAATCGAGTTTCCTTCTTTTGCTAAGTTGAAAGGACTTATGACCTCAGCAGAGTTCAAGTGGAGTTGTCAAAATCGAAAATGGCCGAATCTTAATACAAATATACCTCTGTACACTGGTGCGGAAAGGTACTAAAGTATAGCTGAGTCTCGGGTAAAAGGAAGTTTTAAAAATCTTTAACTCGAAAGGAACTCCTCCGACGCTTGGCTCTTACTCTATTGGGGTGTGAAATACTGTGTAGCTACAATGTAAAACTACAACACCAACAACATGCCAAAATATAGAACAATGGCAGAAAGTGGCCATGTTGCCTTTGAAGTCTAATTCTTGGTCACAAGTGTCTGTGTCCCAGCAGGGTCAAGGAGAGATAGTCAATCGAGGCCATTTGTAGTTTAGAACGCTTATGCTAGGAGCCAAGACGTAACAGAAAAAAACTGGGACTTACAACGTTTCATAGCAGGGAATCAAATGTACATTAAAAAGCAGACCTTCTAGGTAAACAACTTAATTAACCAACGTAAAGTTTGAGTTATGTACATGACAAGTAAGAATTTCCTCTTCGTTTTTTTCTCTTTGTATCAAGACGTTTTAACTTACTTGTCCAAGCAATCCTTACTGATGATATTTCTTGTAGCTGTTTTCAAAGCAACCAAAAGCCGTTGAGGTTTTTCACTGCTTTTCCCAGAACATGACAAAAGTTCTGATGCTGTAGGTGACAAAACAAATTTTCATTGTAAAGGAGATCATCTGCAATTTGCTACTTCTTGGTTGAAATAATAGCTATAGGAGGATGTATTTATCATTAAGGATAAACGAGATGTTTGTCCATGATTATTTCTACGACAAAACTTACTTTTCTAAATTTGATTGACTAGTAAAATCGAACATTTGAAAAACAATATGGATCGCTTATTTTTAAGGAGAGAGGGAACACAATTCTTTAATTCGGCCTGGAAAACCAGCAAAGCATTTCTAATAACATCACCACCATCAAGTTAACTGTTGAGTAACACAGTTACCGATTGCCTCTGCCATTGAATTCTCTCTCAAGGCATCATCCCCAAAGAGATCTTCCAAACCTCCATGAGCCAACAGTCTATTAGCAGCCTGTATATCTACCCTCAAGGCCATACTATCCATTCCCAGCATCTCAGTGAAGGTCACACATGCAGCGCATACCCAAGGATTCGTTAAATTTTGTACAGCAACTCTATAAGCTTTCAATGCCGCTTTCTGAATGCTGAAACAATACAACAGAGGAGGAAAATTATTTAATAGCTAATGCGTCGGGTCAAGTTTAAAAGAAGTCTAAGAAATGAGTTAATAACGATACTTACTTAGCTTTAGATATGTTAACATCTTTCAGTTTCTCTCCAATAAAAGCTACGAACGCGAAAGAGGGTCTACCATGACGAAGATAATATGCGAACGTTAGACGTTCTTTATGTGCATGTTGGGAAACTAAGGAGTCACAAGAGAAATGTTGCATATCATACGAGGTATCTGAAAAAGGGAACGGAAATCAATTAGATCAGTGATTCAAGTAAAATTTACCCCCTGCCTTATTAATCCTTTTCTACGCATTTGACTTGCTTGCGATGATAACTTCCCCAAAAAGCGTCGGAGTCATAGTCACCACGAACAATCTTTTTAGGATCTACCCCTCTTAGATGATAACAATTCATGTCATTATTATGACAAACCTTACCTCCCTTCGGACCGAGTTCATTTGTTGGCTGCCAACCGAAAAGTCGTGATATTTCAAATGGTGAATTTCCCTGCAAGATAAGGGAAAGTTAAAATAAATGTGTCAAGCCCATAACAAGGTTGACGCCCTCATATGCAGAATTTTAATGGAAAGGCTTCTGTGGACTCTCTTTGAACCTAACTACGACAAATTTTATGGCATTTAAACCTTACCAGAGAAAGCATCGTAAAAGATATGAAGCTTCACAAACAAACAACCTGCAAATTAAACAACTTCAATGGCTATGTTGCTGGTCTTTTCCTATTATGCAGTGACATTTCAAGCCACCCTGGCCGTGACGGACGAAATGAAACCGAATATGCATATGGAACTAAGCATCCTTGTTTCCAACTGAAGGAAAAGGGTCTGAAACTGACACCTAAACGTGTGTTCCGTTCCCGGCCATTTTGAAGAAATCAAATGCTAATGCTCATGAGTGACTTCGATCTGTTTGCAATGAGTGAAACTTGGCTCAATTCCACCTGGACTGATCCTGAACTTGCAATTGACAACTACACAATCTACCGTTATGACAGCAACTATGCTAAAGGAGGTGGAGTAGCGATTTATACAAAAAACTCACTTACATGTCGACGAATTCATCTTCTCGACAAAGAATAAAACGCTGAATATGTATGCATCGAAATAAAACAACACGCTGCTGGAGCAAAATTTCTATTTATTGTTTTCTACCGCCCTCCCAACTCAACGTCGAAGCGATTTGATCAAATTACACAGATTATTGATTCAGCCTCTTGTCACTGGAATGAAATTATAGTGACCGGCGACTTCAACATAAATCTTCTTGATGCAACGAATGCAAACTGCAAGCTCATCAAGATATTCCGTGATGCAGGCTTGAAGCAATTAATAAACACCACAGGGGGAGATCCAGGATTTAGTCAAGGGGGGTTGGAGAATTGTTCCCCTTCTGAGGGGTTCAAGATTTTGAAAATTAGGTCTTCGGAAACATGATTTCCAGCGTTCTGAGGGAAAACTTAGCGGGTTCGATCGAACCACCCGAACCATCCCTGGATCCGCCCTAGCACCGAAACGCGAGAATACAAGAATACATCTTCTTTATTTGATCATCTATACACAACACACGAAGATAGAATCAGCGAAATTATTGTTCCAGTTTACGGACTAAGCGATCACCATCCAATTTGCTTCACGCATAAATTTGGCAGAGGTAAACGCAGTAAAAACCATCACGAAAAAATTACGTACAGGAATTTTAAGAACTTCTCAAAAGAAAATTTTGTTAATGATCTGGCAGGTATGCCATGGACAGCTCTTGACGCCTATGCTGATGTGGACTATAAGCTAGAATGCTGGTATGCAATGTTTATGGATGTGTTAAATGAACATATACCACTGGTCACCCGACGAGTGAAAACAAACAAACCCCAGCTTGGATGAACCGCGACCTCATTAGGCAAATACGTGTCACAGACAAATTTAAAGCACGTGCCATACACAGTGTGCTGGCAAGAACAATGTATAAAAGAACCAGGAATCAAGTTGTCAAACTAATCCCCAATGCAAAGTCCAACTATTTCAAAGAAAAGATTGTAGAAAATAAAGACAACACAAGAAATCTGTGGAAACTGTTAAAGCATTCAGCACCAACCAAACCCACCTCAAAAGCACCCAACGGTATTTCAGTTAATGGTAAACAAGTTATTGATCCAGTGAAAATAGCGGACGCATTCAATGAATACTTTACTTCGATAAATGCAACAACAGTGCCACCTGATCAAGAAAACTTGACAACCTCACAATCTGAGCTTGATGTCCTCTTACAGGACTTTGTTAACAGCCATATGCCACCCTCATCACAAGATAAATTTTGTATCCCACTTATTACAAAGGAAATTGTTGAAGCAGACCTAAGAAAGATTCCTTCAAACAAGGCAACAGGTCTAGATGGCATCAGTGTCCGTGTGCTGAAAGAAGCTCTACCAGTAATATCCCCAAGCCTCGCGCTTATTTATAATGCTATCATCAGTAATGGCGTTTTTCCTGCTGCCTTTAAAATAGCCAAAGTATTACCACTCCACAAGAGAGACTCGACACGAGAGGGGAAATCACCGTCCCATATCTGCTCTACCTATCCTCTCTAAACCGCTAGAAAGACACAGAGCTTCTGCCTACCTACAGCATCTAACTTCGAACAATCTATTTAACAATTATTCCACGAGCGCGCGTTGGATATGAGATGATAGATAGCCAACGAGGCGCGTAGCGCCGAGTTGGCTATAATCATCTCATATCCAACAAGCGCGAGTGGAATAATTGTTTTATTAAAAACGCCCCCAAGAAATTATTATTTTGTAAGAAGAAACTGGATTTTTTAGCTCCCTTTTGATTTTAAGCTGATGCGTACGCTTACCATATTTGTAGATTATGGTATATTGGCTGATATACCATAATGGCTAAGCCAATAAAAAGTCTTGAATTGCATTATCCAATGATCCAGTTTTTAATAATATATAATAACCAGTTCGCTTACCGCCCATATCACTCATGTGAAACTGTTCTGCTTAATATTTCTGACAACTGATTGAAAGCTATGGACAACAGTGAACTCGTTGGTGCTGTCTTTTTAGACCTGAGTAAGGCCTTCGATTTAGTCAACCATGCCATCTTCCTTGTAAAACTTAATAAATATCACACTGGTACAAATGCAATGAACTGGTTCAGATCATATTTAACAGGCCGCACACAAGTTGCATCTGTCTCTGGTGTGTTATCCAGTCATTCGAATCTAGATGTCGGGGTACCACAAGGTTCCATCTTAGGCCCAATTTTGTTTTCTATCTATATGAATGACCTACCCCTCTTATTAAAGAACACTGAAGTCGACATTTATGCCGACGGCACAACGATCTGGTCGAGCGGAACTAACTGTACAGATATTTAAAATACTCTGAATGATAGTCGAGACAAGGCCAACAGTTGGTTTAAACTAAACCGGATGATACCAAACACAAAAAGACCAAACACCTGCTAATTGGTTCTTTACAAAAGCTAAACCATAGTAGTGAAAAAACAATGGAAATTCATATCGATGGCATCAGGCTGGGAGAGGCAGCGGGAGAGAGGCTGCTTGGAGTCGTCATTGACCAAAATCTTTCGTGGAACTTACATCTTGACTATTTGATTAAAAAAATTGAACCTTGGCTTGCAGAAAAATGTTATATACTGCTCTCATCAAGCCAATTCTAGAGTATTGTTGCATGGTCTGGGGTAATTGTATCGTTGGGAATCTTCAAAGAGTTTTAAGACGACAGAAACGATGTGTTAGGCTAATTTTAGACGCCGATACTCATCAACACTCTGTCAAGCTTTTTAACAAACTAGATTGGCTGCCCATAGACGATAATATACGTATTAGGAAGCTTTATATGCTTCATAAAATAAATCAAGGACATTGCCCCGCTTATTTTAATAAATACATTGAATATATATATATATATATATATATATAAGCAATACCTATAATTATAATACGAGATCAGTTTCCAATACCAATATAACAACACCAGCCTGTAAAAGGAACTCTGGCCTCAGAACGTTTCACTCAAGCGCTTGTCGTTTGTGGAACACTCTTGATCCAAAACTTAGGTCACTCTCCCATACAAATTTTAAAAATTACTTATTTAAA